AAAGATTGAAGGAGGAAGGGGAGAGACTCCAGACGTTACTCAAAGAACAGAAAGTGAGTAGAAACTGAGGAACGCTGGGACCTTCTAACCGACACTTTGCTACACACCACCCAGGAACTCCCTGCACTTCAACAAACTGTTGGAAAGATAGAACAACACCAGGAAGAGTTTAAGGGTATCTAGTATCTGGAATAACTACCTCAACGCGTCACCTAGCCAAGTAGACCATAGGGTCCTACAATGTGCACACTAATTAGACTATATCTTCACTCAGAAGCTGACGAACACCATCACTGCAATTTTGACAGGTGGCAATGGCGGGGGTGGAGATGGTGGCGATGATGGGGATGGTGACAAAAAAGGAAAGGGTCCTAGTAAGGATGATGGAAAGAAAGAAGGAGATAGGTTTGAGGGACGAGAATGAAGGGAGAAGATGAAGGTAAAACTCCCTTGGACATACATTGGGAAAAAGGAGGAGAGCACTTTTCATTAGGAGGCGGGGATGGACACGTACCTGTACGGTGTATGCACAATTGGATTCGTATTGGGATCACGTACGAATGGCAAATTTGTGCCTAGGGGGAGACGCTGCAAGCTTTGCTATCTCGTTAGTGAAGGAGGCAGGTTGTACCTCGATGGTGTAGTACCCATAGCGCACTAAGATGGAGGACTTCTTCAGGGCCTTGAAAGATCGGTTTGAAGATATGAACTTAGCTCGTCGTGCTGAGTCCCTCATCCTCCACACTAGTGATCGCAAGTGGAAGAGTGCGTCGACACTCAAGGCCACTATGGACGAGCCGTTGCAATGTTCGGAACACGGACTGACCCCTGCTCAGATCTTGAACAATTTTGCTAGAGCGCTGCCACAACCCCTTAAGACCTAGTTATATCCCCGTACTTAAGAGGAGGGGATGACATACGAAAAGTTTAATAAGATTGATACATACCATGTCGGTTTCTTGCAGGAGGCAAACTATTGCCACTACTGGAAGGATCTGCAAGCCGTTATGAAGTGGAAGAATAGGACTATATCCGACAGTATAGAGGGGAAGGATAATCTGTTGGTTACCGTACGGCCAAATAGATTACGGTCTAGAGGAAGAGAACAACAACCAAGTAGCCCGGGGAGGGGATTATGTGGCAGTTGCAGCCCGTGGGGTAGGACGACAAGGTAGAGGCCGAGGTAGAGGAGAACGAGGTCGAGGACAAGGTGGAGAAGGAGGACCCGCTGCCCAGAGGGGTGGTGGCGAAGGTAGCGACTACGTGGGAGGTACGGGTTATGGTCCCTCGCAAGGTGGTAGAGGTTCTCCTTTCACAGGGGGTAGAGGTAGAGGTAGAGGTAGATATTGGCGGTCGTACCCAAAGCACCGGGGAATAGCTGAAGGCAAACATTGGGTGGAAATGGGAATAGACGGAAAGGTATGGAATGATCATCGCAAGGCCGGACAATTTTCCAAGTGTGGTGACCACAACCACATTGTTCCTTTTTGTCCCGAGTATCGGTACCCAAAAGGGAACAAGCAGTAGAGGTTGTAGGCGCCTCTACGGAGACGTCGGACTTAGACAGAGAGATAGAAGCGCGCGTTGAGAAGGCACCTTCCTGTTCGAAGATCCCGATGGCAGAGATTGTTGTAGGCCCCCACCTAGCTAGTTGTCCAAAGGTTGTGTGTGCTAGGACCTCTCTAG